TTAAATTTTCATTTAATTTATTTGGATTTTCACTTTTCTGTCCTGTATGTATTTTATGTCCTTTTTAATTTCACCTACTTTTCTGTAGTGGCTTTATTTTTCCCTTTCCATTTCTTTTCTAAGCTCTTCTTTATTCTTATCTCTTACTTTTGCCTTACTATTTCATCTCTGAGCTCTTATAGCTCTGTTTTGTCCTCATCCTCTTTTTTTCTTCAGAGAGAATCTTGCTCTGTTGCCCAGGCTAGAGTGCAGTGGCATCATCATAGCTCACTGCAGCCTCCTACTCAAGTGATCCTCTTGCCTCAGCCTCCCAAGTAGCTGGGACTACAGGTGTTCCCCACCATGCTTGGGTAATCTATCTATCTTTCTTTCTTTCTTTCTTTCTTTCTTTCTTTCTTTCTTTCTTTCTTTCTTTCTTTCTTTCTTTCTTTCTTTCTTTTTTTTGTAGAAAAAAGGGTGTTCTGTAAAACTGTATTGTACTTGGAAGATGAACACCCTATATGAGATCTCATCATATTGCTCAGTCTGGTTGTACTCATCCTTTATAGAAGCAGCTGCTTTATTACATCTTAAAAATTCATGGTGAAATGCATGTCCATAATTTTCATCTACTTGATGGTACTGCTTTTTCTGGTGAATGGTCGTTTATTTATTCAGTAAACATTCACTGAGCACCTACTCTTGCTGATCACTCTACCCTTGTGGAGTTTATGTTCCAGGGTGGGAGACAGACAATAAATAAAATAGGGAAGTATTAATACATATGTAGGACTTTAGGTGATAAGTACTACAGGGCAGAGTTGGGGAGGGGGAAAGTATTAGTCTGTTTGCATTGCTATAAAGAAATGCCTGAGGCTGGGTAATTTATAAAGAAAAGAGGTTAATTCAGCTCACAGTTCTGTGGACTGTACAAGCGGTACAGTGCCAGCATCTGCTTCTGGTGAGGGCTTCAGGGAGCTTCCCATCAAGGCAGAATGTGAATGAGAGCAGGCGTGTCACATGGCAAGAGAAGTAGCAAGAAGAGGGAGGAGGTGGTGCCAGGCTCTTTTAAACAGCCGGCTCTTAATAAAGCAAGAACTCACTCATGAGAACCCACTTGTTATCACAGGGAGGGCACCAAGCCACTCATGAGGGTTCCACCCTCATGACCCCAACACCTGCCCCCAGGCCCCACTTTCAACCCTGGGGATCAAATTTCATTATGAGATTTGGAGGGACAAACATCCAAACCACATCAGAGGATAAGTGAGTGTTTGGGTGGGGGCTCAGGGCAGGCCTCACTCAGATGTTGTCATTTGAGCAGTGACTTGATGGGGGTGAGGAAGAGCCCCAGGTGGAGGGAAGAGCATGTGCACATGGTAAAGGACTAGCAGGAGGGACTGAGATGAGGTCAGACAGGCAAGGAAGAGGGGCAGGTCCCCCTTGATGGGCCATCAGCTGACTTTGGCTTTTACCCCGAGTGAGATGGGAGCTGCTTAGAGTTCTTTTAAGTAGAAGAGTGACGTGATGATCTGTTATCATCTACCACTTGGATTTCTCTCCTCCCTCCTCTCCTACTTCCCCCTCGCCCCCTTCTTCCCTCTCGTTTCTTAATCCATTATATGTCATGTGCTCCTCTGCTGGTTCTTTTTAATGTATCCTTCCTGCAGGACATGAATTTATTCCTAGGCCATGCTGGCTGGGAGTGTTCTTAAAGCCTGAGGTTTTATGTGTGAGTTTCTTGTATCTTTCATTCTCTTGAGCCCATGAGATGACCGGCTGGGGGAGGTTTGCACCATGCCCAGGGGCTTGTGGCTCCCTCTGCCACAGAGACGACAGCTTACAGCTCGTGGAGTCTGTACAGGAGTCCTCTTGGGGTGTGGCTCAGCCCCTCCCAGGGGCGCCCCCACTTTCCAGAAGCACATTTGATGATTCTTCCTGCGTTCTACCGCCGAGGGGCCCTGTTTCGGCTTCTCACTGCATGTCCCCTGCCTGGTCTTCGCTTTTATCAGCTCTTCCACCTATTTCATGGTATTCGACTGTCTCCTGGCTTCACTGAAAATCGAGTGTGTGGTTTTGTTTCTTGTTCTTTTGGGTGATTTCCAGGAAGCCGAGGGGGGAACGCTGACTTGACTCCACCACCTTCAAACCCAGAGACCCGATTATGGTTTTGTTTTTTTTATTCCAGAGAACAAAAAGGAAACAAAGAAAGTTGTGCAATTCGGTAGTGACCTTTTTTACATTTAGAGAAGACAAAGTCAGAAAATAATAGTCTCTTTTACCCCGCTTTGGACAAATGTGGTCGTGGTGTATGCTGTGGGAGCCAGCGAGAGGGAGCGGACCAGAGTGACCGGTTGCCTGCCTCATGCTCTGTCCCCAGGCGGCTCTGCGGGCCGCGGTGGAGACCGGCCACGGCGGGCCTGTCCCTGCACCCAGCCCCTCCAGGCTCAGGCTCTGGGTGGTGTGGCTCTCTTCTCTTGGCTGCGTCACCTCACAGAGAGGTCAGTTTTACGTAATGCTGGTGGACCCGAGGCGTCTGTGCTGCCTTCTGTGACAAAGCCCACAGTTGCAAGTCCCTGTAAAGGGCAACATGTAGTCTAGAGCCCTGGGCCCCGTGGCGTCACCTATGTGTGTCTTATACACACGTACGACCCGGGGCCTGCGCCTCACCCTCATCTGTGTTGCCTACGATAAAACCTTTCTCAAGTCAAGGGTCCCCTTGATGCGACAGCAGCTGTGGCTCTTCGCCCTAAACACCAGCACGTGTGCACAGAATTTCCACGTGTCGTTTGTGGGTTCGTTGCCATCCTAAAGTCTAGGCAGGGGGTCCCCTTTGGCATCATGGCCTCCAGCGAAAGGCCCCTGCTTTTTTTGTTAGCCGATTGGACCATAAATCTTGTTTCTTGTTGAAAGTCTAGACTAAAGTCTGAGGTGGAAGTTCTTGGTGAGGTCTTGGGTTTTCCTTAATTTCAGTTATTCACGTTCCTCCTGCCTCCTATGCCAGAGGTTAATCAAGAATTGTCTGTTTTCTCACTCCCGTGGGTCTTAACTTTTTGTTGAACCATTTTCTGTTTCTAAAGTCCTTAGCCACACTTGGGTTGATTTTGTATCCTTTTGTTGGTAGGAATTGAATAAACCTATAAATAATAAGAATGCTTAATTTGCCTACAAATATTTCATTACGTTTCTATTTTCTCTATTATATTGTTTCTTACTTAAAGAATGACTGAAGAATCCCTGAGTCATAAAATATTTACTCTGCTTCCTTCCAAGCTTTTTCCTTTTTATGCCACCGAGATTAAAGAAGGAAAAGGCTCTATTGATGTCATAATTACAATATGCCAATTAATCAGTGGTCAACCCAGAGATCTGTTCCCGTGATATTAACTGAAAATGTTATGATTACATAGGAAGAGAACTGACCTCAAGTGCTATTCTATGATAAAATTGACAAAATCATTTTATCTCATACATTTGTGGGATATACTAGCCAAGTAAATTTTTAAAAATATACTAGTGAATTTAAACTTTTCAAAATTAGGTTTCTAAAAAACAAATTAGGTTTCTATTGGATTGAATCGTACAAAAATTAGTAGAATTACTATTAATTGGCCAGGTGTGGTGGCTCCCACCTGTGAGCCCAGCACTTTGGGGGGCTGAGAGAGGAGGAGCACGTGAGTCCACATGTTCAAGGCTGCAGTGAGCTATGATCACTCCACTGCACTCCAGCCTGAGTGACAAAGTGAGATCTTGTCTCAAAAAAAAAAAAAAACTACTTTAATTAAATTTAGAAGTTAAATTATTTAAGAGGAATTTTCTCTTAAATTTACTTATGGGCTTTATGTGTTCTTAGAAACAAAATGGATTTTCCTTGAATTCTGCTTAAAATGGAGAGGATTGGGTTTGTTTTTATTAGGCTTCAGAGCCTTGGATGGGGAGTGGGAAACAAAAAAAAAAAAACTTAGCACATTTAAGAGACACAGAATATTCCCTGCTCCCAAAATTCCGCACGATATAAGAACGTGATAAAAAATTTTCACTGGATGACCAGAGGAAATTGAAAGTAAGCAGATTTAATGTTTTGATGGCTTGATCTGCCGACCAAGTTTTGTTTTTCTTCTTTGGTTTTGTTGCCAACAGTTTTCTGCCATCCTATTACTCTTTGACAGCGGTTGGGCTACATTCTGAAGGTCATCTCAGAAACACCCTCTTTCGCGTTTATTGTGGATTCTCTTTCTACTCCAGTTGATGCTATTTAATCTCCTAAACTTCCTCTTCTACTCACAAGCCCGTGACAAATTGAGACTATCAAGTTCTATGGCGACAGGAAGAAACTGCCGTCCAATAAAGCAAGTAGTTAATGTGCATGTGGTATCACTCAGTAATTATCTTCAGGTAAATGAATAGATGATCTGCTGTGAAGTCCCTCTCCAGTGATTTATGAACCAGGGGAGTTGAGGCTCAAATGTCTCCCTGAATGAGCGGAAACACGAGGGATGAGGACGGTCCCTCTGTGCCGCCCTCATGCACTGTGCCGATAACCTCCAGTCTTGCCTGCGGTGAGGTTCTGGGCAGAACGGACACCAGGATTTTATTTTCTTGTATTCCTTTTCTTGTATTTCTTCTGTATTCCTTCTGAAGGGATCACTGTACATGCCCGTGCATAACATCACTGTGAGCCTGCCATTGCCCTGGGCCTTCTCTTTGTGCCTTTGAACTCAGACCTCTGTTGGGATTCTCCCAGCCGGGAATGAAGACGTGTCTGGAAGGCAGCAGTGGGACGAGATTCCTCGGCCTGCACCTCGGTGCTCCCTGGCAGTGCGTGTCTAGCCTGCCTTGTCCATACCAGTGGGCACTGGCCCCCACCAGGGCTGGGCTTTCTCCACCCCGGCAGCCACGCATCTTGGTGGATGTCTGGATCTTCGAACAAATTGATTGTTAAGGAGACTAACTTTTGCTGATAAATGAGGTAAATGAAAGAGACGTGCTAATTGGATTGGTGGCTCTCTTTTCTCTTCCAGGAAATACTCTCCGGTGTGGTGGTCATATCTAGTAAGGATTCCATCCAGCACCAAGGGGTGTCTTTGACAATGGAAGGGACTGTAAACCTCCAGCTCAGTGCCAAAAGTGTGGGCGTGTTTGAAGCCTTTTATAATTCTGTTAAGGTAAGAATGCTTAGATTGCACATTTTTAGTTCAGTATGCAAATGTTTGTGGTGGTTTTTACTTGTTTGTCTTTTTGCCCCCATTCTTGGTGGTAGGTGAGTGCTGTCTGTCTGTATTATCTTTTGTTGTCTTGCAAGGGCTAGTGATAGTCAGACTTTCAGTACTTAAAAATCAACCTGAAAAAAATGTAGATATTTGTTTCTACGTATATCCTGTTACTCAAAGTCTGCTTGTATTTATTCCTATTTGATAAACAGGATTCGAACTATAATGGTATTAATTTTAGTCATTAAAAAGATCAAAGCTCTTTTCTGAGAAGTTGTACCTGTGGCTTATGGTACTTGCCTTCCCAAATCAGAAATGATTTTTTATTAGCTATGCATACTGCTACTGTTGGATTTGACATTAAGTTAAGATGCAGACAGAGCAAGAAACTGTTTTCTTATTGTCGTTTAGAGTAAAGGTTTGTGTTCTAGAGTGCCTTTTTTTCTATACTTACAGTTTTCTTTTCCTGAAGGACATATTAACTCTTTAAGTTTTGAAGGGGGAAAAGTTAAGAGGGAAGAAGAGTACATTAACAGTGTTCAGATTTAGAACTCATGTTTTCCCATAATTTTATTTTAATCCATTGGTACTTAGAGATTCACTTCATAAATTGTGGATTTTCCCAGAATGGCACTAAACCAAAGCTTAAAAAGCATTAAAACCTACTTTTTACGTAGGTTCCAAATATTAGTACCCTCTTCCTCCCCGGAGGCCCAGCTGAGGAGGTCTGTGCAGGGGCACAGGGCTGAGCGACAGGCCTCCTGCTGTCCCTGTGTGGCTGCACTGGGGAGGCTCAGAGGCGGCTGGTGTGCTGTCAGGAGCAGAGGTGGCACACCGTCGAGAAGAGCCCAGGGCCAGGCGAGGACGGCACCTGAGTTCACATGCCAGCCCTGCTAGCCACGTGGCCTCATTGTGCTGGGTCTGTTTCTTCATTCTGAAGATAGGGGCTGTTAGGATGGTTAAATGAGATACTTGGGAAGGAGAGAGGGATATATCAGTTCAGTTCTTACTGCTGCATGCTAAGCACCTAAGTGTCTAATGTTGTAAATGAACTATTATTGTGCCAGAGACTTAAAAAATGAAGCTGACTCACCGTTCAACTCTAAACCCAGCACTGTGCTGCCCAAGAAACCAGGATGGGACCGTCCAGAGGCTCAGGGTGTTGTGTCTTAACAGAGATTATTAATAGCACCATAATGTGAAAGGATATCTACAAGAACACGCTGATGGACCGAGTTGGTTTTTGTTTACAGCCTATCCAGATTATCAACACCACCATAGAAATGGTGAAGCCGGGGAAATTTCCCAGTGGCAAAACAGAAGTTCCTTTTGAATTTCCTCTGCACGTAAAGGGTAACAAAGTTCTGTATGAGACTTACCACGGCGTGTTTGTCAACATTCAGGTGAGAGTTTCCTAATCCCATGCGATTGACTTCATAGTTTTTCTTCTGTAAAACAGCATGGTCTTTCTTTCACTGAAAGTTAATAGATGGACCCAAGAATTTAATACTGTCTTAATTGCTGAGACCTCTCTTGTATATTCTATGTTGATTTCTTATTTTGCGCTGCAAAATACTAATTTGATATTTGACCATTATTTTTCATAGGAACCCTGAAGGACCCATGCTATTATGTAGCTTCTTTTTCCTTTGTTTCTTTTGGGCTCTTTTCTGACCACGTTGACACTGTAAGGGGTGCTTTTATTGTTTGGTAGCAGATATGCCCTAACTTCTTTCTGGCACCAGCATTAACTTGTCTATTTTGTACTTATAAATATCTCTTTGTTTAATACCCAAAGGCTACTACTTTAACATAGGCTTGTATTCTTTATTGAACAAACCTTGTCAATGAGGGGAAGTGAATTTATGACTTCCTGTCTACCTCTGCTAGTTAAAGATGCCTTTCACAATTGCTGTTGTTGTCTCAGGAGCAGTATGGAGTCATGACTCAGGGCAGGAGAAAAGGCCTTTCCTTTATTCAGCAGAAAGAAAGATACTTTTGTGATAGCCTTGCACCGGTTCCTTGCTAGATGAGACAAAACTATTCAGTCTTATGTATAAGAGGGATGAAAGTTAGGAATATTTTTGGTTTATGAATTAAGTTTTAGTGGATAATTTGGTCTTGGTATGATAGATACCATTCCCCTGCTTAAAATAATAGCATCTTTAGAATAAAAATCTTGTAAACACCTGCAAGGGTTTCATCAAAGTTTTGTCTGTTGTGTGGGTTTTATTGCTTAAGAAATCTGTCAAGAAGAAGCACATGTATTATGATGTACTCTATTGCAATAAATATCTTTCTGTGAAGAAAAAACATGTTTTGAGTCTTCATTATTAGCATGCCTGTGTCAGGCAATATATATAGATATAGATATACCAAAGGCTTTGGACGGTTCCTAGGAATTAACAGTAATGATTGATATCTTGAACGTTTTATTTTGATAATGATTTTTATTATCTATCCAGAATCAGAATCAACTTGCATTATCCACACAGTGGTTCTTTAATACTATTTATTTTAAAATATAAGAATTATGTTCATTAGACACTGAATGGGACAAGATCAAGTTTTCACTGATCATAACTGTTACTTTCTCCTATATTTATTATGACTTATTAAAAGAAGAGTAATTTGTTTAAAATCAAATTGGAAATCCCAGCCTTTTCCAAATGTTGCCAAGAAAAATGCACAGATATACACATAAAACTTGTGTGCTTGTGTTTCTGCAGAGCTGTGTGTAAATTGGAGACTACTTAAAATCCAGTTGGAGAGTTACAGGTGGTAAATTCTTCAGTGACGTGAACAGCTGTCCCTACTTGGGGGTTTGCTCCAGAATGCTACAACTTGGAATTCTATACCTTTGCAAATACCTTACAAATTTCTGAAAATGAAGAGATTTCTTCTTAGCTTAACCTCTAATTTCTATGAGCTTATCACCCTTATACTTATTGCCACTTAACATAGATTAATATTTTGCCCTCCTTGTTAATCAGTATTTATTTTTTCTGAATCATTTTAAAGTTAGTTACAGAATTTTGATACTTCATCTCAAAATACATCAATGTCCATCTCCCCAAAAATAGGGACATTGTCCTACATAATCACAATTAACATTTTCATGCCTATCAAAATTAACAAAAATTCTCAAATATCATCTAATTCCCCATCCATATTGAAATTTGTCATGAGCAAGTGCCACCCAGACAGGACAATGACTCCTGTGGTCACACAGGCCAATCTTGGCATGGGGATCCACAGGCCAGCATCCTTTTTTGACACCCATACACTTACTCGGAAGATTAACATAGGTACATTTCTCTGGATAGAAAGTTTTGTTATTACGCCCTAATGTCTTTCTTAAATCACATAGACGCATAGAAATTTTTCATTTATAATTTGAATTGTGTTGTAACATAATATAAAAATGGTAAAAATCATAAGACAAAATAAAGGACTTAAAATATAGCCATGCCAAGCACAGTGGTGCACGCCTGTAGTCCCAGCTACTTGGAGGCTGAAGAGGGAGGATCACATGACCCCAGGAGTTGGAGGCTAGTCTGGGCAACATGGCAAGACCCCATCTCTTTAAAAAGGTTGAAAAATAACAAAAATAAAATATGACCAGTATTAAATTCATAACTTGCAGAGAGGCTTGGTTTACTTGTTTCTTAGAGCAAGGCTTCATGATTTTTTGCTCTTATTCTCAGTCACATGGAGTTCATTCTTTATCTTTGTTATTAGATAGTTCATATGAGAATCTGTCATTCTTTTGCAGTTGTCTTTTGTGTAGCTAATTTTTCTTTTAAAAATTATTTAAATTGTAGACAAGTTTTATTATGTTTGTTCTCTTGTGGCTATGCAAGCAAGGTTTTATACAATAACACAAAATATCACACAAAATATGTCTGCTGAAATTGCATGTTCAGAATTAATTTATAGAGATTGTAGTCATCCTTGTTCACAGTTAAAAATACCTTTTATAGGAGTCAGCTTTAAATCTGTTGACAGGTGTCTTCCTTTATTCCTGTTCATTGACAGTTGAGAAAGATCAAATCTTGCACCTCCTTTCGAAGCCCTGCTCAAGGCTGACATCCTCTTGGCCCCCTCTGACCTACTATTGCTAATACCGCCTGGATCACTCTTTAGTACTTGGAGATCATGATAAACTGAAAAGATCTAGGCCTTTGCAGCAGGCAGATCTGGGCTTGAATTACAGCTCTGCCGCGGAGTTTCATAAGGATTCAGGACATGAGTTTTTGGCAACAGACAGGTGTAAATTCAGATCCCACCTCTGTGACCCGGAGCAACCTCCCTGACCTCTCTCTTAGGGGATTAATGAGGAAATTGTGTAAAATGCTGGGCACAGTGTGCCTGGCACATGGGATGTGCTAAGTGAATGTTTGCTCGAATTAATGGTGACTATCCTTATATTAGCCCAACAATTCTTCTATTAGTATTGTTGGAATTAATTGAGGTGGTTCGAGCTTACCACTGTCTCTAGAACATCACGTTTTCCTTTTTCCTCCACCCTCCTCCCCTCCTCACTCGTTACGAGCTGCCTTATATCACTAATTATTGCTTTCACACTTAGCAAATAGTTAGTGGCCAAAAGTTGATGCTTGTAATTCACATCCTTTCATTCACAAGTTTACAGAAATCCAACTCAAATCAACTTAGCCAAAAAGGGATATTGGATCATAGAACTTCCAATTGCAGAGGAACAGCGAGGCCAGGTTGGATGCCAGGGCTCCAGTCGTGTCTCAGCTCAGCTTGCTTTCCTGCAGGCTTCATTCTCGGGCAGCCTCTTCCCTCTTTGCCATGGCAAAGCCGCTGCCAGCAAGCTGCTGCAGGTTTACAGTCTACTGGGTTTGTAACCCCAGCAGAAAGGGAATTCTTTCTCATAGTTGCCATGGCAGTTCTGGCTTTCTGCCCACTTTTGCACCCAGGTGGGAGTGTGAGGGGGAGGTCAGCCCACCCAAACTGAGACTGAAAATGAGGAAGGGGAAGTCCCCACTGGGAAAAGAATCAGAGAGACCAGGCAAGCCAGAACAAGGGAAAATGTTCATCCTAAATTTCCTTTTAAAGAAAAAGTTTTTGAAAAAAGATAGCTTTTTTCAAAATGCTTGGATTTTGGGCCACATATCATATATAAACTTAGTTTTACCTTGCAAAGAAATATTCAAGTCATTTTGATTTGACATGATATCATATAGAAATGTTGCATTCCTATGGAAATCTTCTTTCAGTAATTCACATTGCTAATTCTGTTCTTCATAAAATTTAACCATTTTTGCAGAAATAAAATTTTGGCTGATACTTGACCCTGTGATAGCCAACACATTTTCGAATGATACAGCACATACACACGGAATTTCTGATCTTTCAACGTTAGCATGTTATAAAACTAATATAGTTAACAATACTTATAACTTGTTACAAAGTATCACTTAAAATAGTAGCTTTAGCACTGAGATTTTGCTGATGCAAGATACGATGAAAAGAAATGAGAGCATCTGGATCTGTTAATAATTTTTTTATCATGCAATAAATCCTTCGTATTTTCCTGTCATGGAAGGTGCAACGTCTGTACATACACTCACTAGATTTACCAAATTCATTCCAACTTCACAACATTTATCTGGAAAGTTGTTGAAGATATTTATTCCCTGTGTTCTGTTTGCAAGAGTGCCCAAAATGAGTAACTCTTTATAGCAAAGAAAATCTTCTGTTATGACCCGAATGAAGTATAAAACCTGTGCTGAGTCAGTAGTGTCAGTTGATTCATCCAAAGCGATTCAATAATATATATTTTCCTTTTGAAGTATTGCATGAAGTTGTTAAGTTGAAGGCTAATTCATGCTGCCGATCATTTATGATTCTCCTTGAAAGATGCAGTTGTTTGAACTTTGAAACGTTATCAGGGTCTAAGCATCCTACAACTGCATTCTTTCACAAATTCTACCTCACTGAATGGCTTCCCTTTTTCCCCTGAGTATGTAAGCTACTTTGTAAGTTGCTTCAGTGGCATTACTTCCAGGTCTTATTGCTGCTTGAAAGAATTGTCTTTGCTTTTGTTTTTCATCTTTTAATTTCTACAATACAACCTTTCATGCCTCTCCCTCTAATCTAAAACATTTGTGGTCTTTATGAGTTATAATGCTGATGAACATTAAATTTCTTTAATGTTGATATTGCAGTATCACAAAACAAGCAAATCATCTTATCTTTTGCAGAAACAAGATAATTTTGCAATTCCCTGTAATGTATACTAATTTCATACATTAGTTGAACAAAGTCTCCCTAAAATATATTGACTGACTTGTCTCTGGGAATATAATACCAAGATGAAAGGACATCTCACTCAAATGACCCTTTCTTTTCCAACTGTTTCCTCTAGTATACACTGCGCTGTGACATGAGGCGGTCCCTGTTGGCCAAGGACTTGACAAAGACCTGTGAATTTATCGTTCACTCTGCTGTAAGCTTCACTTGGGGGGTCTGCTGCTGAATAACGGGATTCTCCTGTGGGGTCTGGGGTTTATTCCTGGTTACAAGCTAATCAGTTAACCTCCTGCTGCTTCCTGGGTCAGAGATAGCGAGCAGCATGAGCAACCACACATGCATCGTCCCCCCTGGCCCAGGGTCCCCCAGTTGGTGCCGTGGGTCCAGGGGGACACCACACTTGTCGCACACTGGTCAGTGCCCTTCCTCCACTTGGCTCCCGGGGTGTTATAGTGGCCATGGCCCTTTGGATCTCGGCCCCTGAGTAAAAAGATGGTCAGGCGGGTTCTAATGAAGCTTGTCTGGATGAATGGATTCTGGAATTATATATAATATGGAGGTGATCATGGTTCATGATGTTAGGGTGACATTTATAATTCATTATACATGTGATTCTTCCAGGTAGACAGCTGCATAGCTCAGCATGGACAGCACTGGCCAGACTACCTGGGCTTGATGCTCAGCTCTGCAAGTCTCTGAGCTCTCTGTGCCTCACCTCCCTCATCTGTGAAGTGGGACCATCTGTGAGGTGCAAGTAGCACCTCCAAGAGCCATGGTGCCAATTCAGTGGCATGTAACAGACACTCCTGTGTTAGCCTCTATTCTAAGGGAGGTTTAAAATAAATGCCTCCCAGAAACTACTCTGTTTCTTAGATCTAATTTCAAAATTCTAAACCTGTAAGTCACCGTGGAGTTTAAGATGTCTGTCCCCACATTTTATAGATGAAGAAACTGAGGCCCAGGGGGATGGAGAAATTTGATAAAGGGCACAGTGTTGTTTTCTGGCAGAACTGTGTTTGGAACCCAGGTATCCTGCCTCTTAGTCCCGAGTCCTTCTTGGTTCATTATGCTGCCGCTCGTTTTTTTAAAGGGAAAATAACTGGCCTGCAGAACTCTTGGTGGAACCCTACTCACTGTGGCTTTTCCTCTTGTTGTAGCCTCAGAAGGGGAAGTTGACTCCGAGTCCTGTGGACTTCACAATCACACCCGAAACCTTACAGAATGTCAAAGAGGTAAGCTGCAACATGCCGGCCACAACTGGACCCAGCTGTCGTCCAGTTTTTCCTTATTTGGGAATCAAGTCGTCAGTGAGAAGAAACTCCTAACTGTTGCAGATTAGTCTGTATTTTCAATTTGATTTCCTTTATGAGCTCAGTAAAGAAGCTTAGAAGAAGAATATTTTTTAAAAGTTCTTTTTTTTTTTTTTTTTTGAGACAGAGTCTTGCTCTGTTGCCTGGGCTACAGTGCCGTGGCATCAGCCTAGCTCACAGCACCCTCAAACTCCTGGGCTCAGGCAATCCTCCTGCCTCAGCCTCCTGAATAGCTTGGGACTATAGGCATGCCCTGCCATGCCTGGCTAATTTTTTCTATATATTTTTAGTTGTCCAATTAATGTCTTTCTATTTTTAGTAGAGATGGGGTCTCGCTCTTGCTCAGTCTGGTCTTGAACTCCTAACCTCGAGGGATCCTCCCGCCTCAGCCTCCCAGAGTGCTAGGATTATAGGCATGAGCCACCATGCCCGGCCTTAAAAGTTCTTTAAGGAGGGTGTATGTTTATTACTTTTTGCTCTCTTCTCTCAGTTTTAGTGCATTTTGGGCCCCGAGCCCCCACTGCCCTTTGCCCTTGTACTTAGCCACAGCCTGTGCGTGCCCACCTGGCCTCGTGCTGTCTTCCCCTGGTTTTAGTCTGCAGCTTCTCTCACCTCATCCCCACCACACAGAGGGTGCTCGTGCCTTTTAAGGACCCCAGCACTTCCCTCGGTGGCGGATTCCTCACAGCAGGGGCAGACTGAGCGAGGACACGGGTGCCCTGGCAGTGCCAGCCCAGCCCCCGCATCCTGCGTCAGGACGAGGGCTGCCTGGCTCTCCACGGCGGCCCCTGGCCGAGCCTCAGCTGCCGCCTGGGCTGCGCAGACAGAGTTAGGCCCCGTCCAGAGCTGCGTCTGGCCTCCTCGGTCCAGCGCTTTCATCCATGGCCATCAGTTTTCCTCCAACTTTGATTTATGTATTGTTTTAATGATATCTGTCTCAAAGAAAGCAGTGAATTCCTGCAGTTCTTTCTGGACATAACGTCTTCCTTCCTCCAAGTGTACATTTGACTCTCTGGCCCATAGGTATTAGAATCAGGTTAAGGGCACATCTGGGAGGATTAGAGCACAGGGGAGATCATTGGCCTCGTCCCTGGCAGGCACAGTTGGGACAGGAGTGTGTCACAGGGAGCCCTTCCAGAGGCGTGGGGAGGAAACGGCCACTCTTTGTCCATCCCTCTTCTCTCCTTTGCCAGGTTCTGAAAGCACGCGGCCCTCTGGCCAGTCCCATTCCTCTCCTACCTCTTTAGCCCGTCTGTAGAAGGGTTTACTTCAACAACAGTGTAACTCCGTTTCTAAGCACTATTTCTTTTTCAAGGTAGCACCTTCTATTATTACAGATGTGGAGCCTTTCCTGTGTTTCCTATATTGATTCTGTTTCCCAGGAGCTGGGTCTTCTGTTTGTTGAGTGTGTGCCTCTTTTTCTTGCCTTTATTTTCCCCAAATGTTTATTGATTCTTGGTTGTCAGTGTATATTTATAGATGAGGATCTAGTGTGTATGGCCTTGTTAAAGAGACTATGTGTCCTTAGCCCAAGGGAGAATCTGTTCTGATCATAAGCACACAGGACCAGAGGAGCTCTGCCTCGCGTGTTGCACAGGGACAGGGAGGTGTGTGCAGGTAGCTTGTCTTCTGGGTCGACAGGTGTGCTGTCCTGCACTGTGACCATAAACGGCTGGGGACACTTGCCCTGCCTTGCCCCAAGCTGCTTTTGGAGTCTCCCAGGTGGCAGATCCCCCTAGAGGGAAGCTGTGGTGCCACCCTCTCCCAGCTTCACCCCCTGTGCTGAGTTCTCCTGCAATACCCTTCCCCAGGCCCTGCCTCTTATCACCAGGCCCTGCCAGGCACACTCACCTCTGCCAGCAGGAGGACTGGGGTGCCCTGCACTCCTTGGAGCTTCGTTGTCCATCCACTTCTTATCTGACAGATACGCTTCACTAGGTTTGTCTCCACAGAGCATTCCCTATAGCTACCCTAGGTGTAGATTTATTTATAAAAGAAAAAGAACTTTCATTATGACAGAACCATTTGTGTTTATTATTGGAAAATGAGAAAATAACACGTAAAGCAAATAAAATTGCTTATCCATAAAATATCACTGGTGTTTTTGTTTTGCTTTTTAAGTAGAAAAAGGATTCATTGGAAGGATATAAGATAGCTTACAGAAACTACAGGAAGGCTGGAGATCAGACTCCGAAAATAGTGTGGGTTTATATTTTATTTGTCTATGTTAATATTTATGTCAGTGGGAGGAGGGGAGAATGAGTCAGTATCTTGAGCTGGACTTTGAAAGCTTTTCTTTTTATCAGTTTCCTAAAAGAATCTTAATGTGAACTGCTACAGCTTTTTATTTTTCTAAACAAATAGCTTCTTTTACTTTTTGTTATTTTTGAAACTGTCTTCAATGGAGACTTTTTCCGAGGTCTGTACCTTTGGGGACCACCAGGCCCAGAGCCCCTCACTGTTCGGGTCGAGGCTGTACCACCCAGTCTGGTGGCCACAGCCGCATGTGACCATTGACCCTTAAGATGTGACTGGGCCGAGCTAAGATGAGCTATAAGTGTAAAAACTGACCAGAATGAAAAAGAGAATGTAAAACGTCATTCATATTTTTTATGTTGATTACATGTGGAAGTATTAACATTTTGGATATACTGGTTAATTTTACCTGTTGTTTTTTTCTTTAATTTGGCTACTAGAAGATTTTAAATTACATGTGTGATTCACATGTGTGGCTTACACCCTGTTTCTGTTGGATAGTGGTATGCTAAACTCTGATACCTTCAAGAACTGGGACACTAGCAAAAGTTGAGATTGCTGGGACAACTGTCTCTAACTCTAGAGCTGTTTTTCTCCACAAGACCATCGTCCATTGCCCTTGCCCAGTTTCCTGTGTCTACAGAGTAAAGGTCCATAGGCTTTTCATCAAGCATTGAAGGAAGTTTTTTAAAAATTTCCTTGAAATAAGTGTCCTGGTTTTTCAAAATTGCATAAATGGGAATATCTTTAAATTGATAATATTTTTAAAACCTTTTTTATATGTGGCTGATTTGTCCTTGAACACCCACGGCAACTTCCTCAGACTTTATTTTTTAATGTCTTACTGCTTAGTAAGAAGGAGCTTTCCAGATCTGAGTCTAGGCAATTAGGATAATTCTCCGGGATATCTGGTCATTCTGGGTAGGAAGTGTCAGTTGGTGCCTCAATATGTACAGAGTTGAATAATTCAGTCTGTTAATGTCCAGAAAGAAGATATAAGTACTTTTGTTTCTTTCTTCCCATTTTGCAAAACAGGGTCCCAGTGGATTATATTCATGCAACAATCACACAGCTTTGTTTCCACTTTTCATTTGTACCAAAGTAACGATTAAGTAATTTCTCCTTTTTCCTTCTGCTCCTGGTATATTTGCTTTCATTTTGTTTTAGAGAGCCTTACTCCCCAAATTTCTCATCAGAGGACATCTCAACTCAACGAACTGTGTCATCACGCAGCCGCTCACGGGGGAGCTGGTGGTGGAGAGCTCGGAGGCCGCCATCAGGAGCATAGAGCTGCAGCTGGTGCGCGTGGAGACCTGCGGTAGGCTCCCGTGGTGGCGGTGGCTCTGCCTGCCTCCCTCCCCCTTCAGCAGTTGCGAGGTTGAGGGGGGGGAACAGGAGAAAGAGCGTGGCTCTCTATCGCAATAAATATATATTTGAGGAAAGCGAAATGTGGAAAGGCAGAGAACTCTCTAGAATCTTCTAGAATCCTCTTTTCTAGAGGGAACTCTCTAGAATCCAAAATGAAAAAGAAGCTAAGTGTGTTGACGCAGGTTCTTGGTGTTAGCTCATTCTGACTGTTGCTGTTTCCTGATCTTGCCAAGTTTCCTCTCTCCTCCAGGGTGTGCGGAAGGCTACGCCCGCGATGCCACAGAGATTCAGAATATCCAGATTGCTGATGGGGATGTTTGCAGGAGCCTCTCGGTCCCCATCTACATGGTCTTCCCCAGGCTGTTCACCTGCCCTACGCTGGAGACCACCAACTTCAAAGTCGGTAAGCCGCGTCCACCTTCAGCCCTTGAGGGCCTGCTGGGCTTCTGTGGAGAGCAGGGCTCACGGAACGGACCACTGGGCACCAGGTCTGCTGTGGTCACGCAGCTCAGAACATTCTCCTTCAGTTGCTCAACAAAGCCTCGTGGAGAATTGGCCTGCCGACCCTAGGAGACAGCCATGTGCAGTCCTGGCTCTTGTGGAATGTAGCAATATACACAGTACCTACATCGGTGTGGACTAGGGCAGGTGACACCAAGTGTTGCAGAGAAAACTAACATGAGTGAGAGGCACGGGAGTGGCGGGGTGGTGTGGGTGGCAGTGCAGGGTCGGCATCACAGAAAGGGTGGCCTTGGAGTACAGACCCAGAATGTATGAAGAATCCCAAAGTGAACGTTCAACATCATGAAGGCTTCGAGCTCGCTAGTTTAGGGTGGCTCGAGTCATTTTCCATGAATCTGTGTGTAAGTACTTTAACCACAAGATCTGACTCATGTCAGTTTTATATCCTGCTTTTTTTCCCCTTACCATCATATCATGAACATTTCTGCATTTATATACATTCTTATAAAATATTTTAATGGTACATACATCTTAATAAGAATTGTCATATTAATTAAGTTCAATTAGGAGACCACCCCACAGTATAAGAAAGTGGAATAAAGACACAGTAGGAAGGGATCGTGTGTGACTTCAGCCGTAACAGACATGATCTTCTGCAGACTGATTGAAAAGACCAGAGGCTGGGCACAGTGGCTCATGCCTGTAATCCTAACACTCTGGGAGGCCAAGTCGGGTGGATTGTTTGAGCTCAGGTGTTCAAGACCAACCTGAGCAAGAGTGAGACCCCATTTCTACAAAGTATAGAAAAATTATCTGGGCATGGTGGCACATGCCTGTAGTCCCAGCTACTTGGGAGGCTGAGGCAGGAGGATCGCTTGAGCCCAGGAGTTTAAGGTTACAGTGAGCTACAAAGACTCCACTGCACTCTATCCAGGGTGACAGAGCAAGCCTCTGTCTCAAAAAAAAAAGAGAAAGAAAAGGCCATAAAAAGAGTTTCCTGGGCTTTCCTGGGATATCCTTTTGGCCGTGCCTGAAGCTCTCTGGTAAATCATGTGCAGTAGGGGGTTTTGGTAGTTGCTTCTGCCAGTGTACTGCTTCATTAATAAATGGGAACTTAGCCCTAAGGCTGATGCATTTTTATTGATGCCATATTCCCCTAAATCTTTGTGCCTTATCATTATTAGTCCAGTGAGAATCTGTTGTTTTTTTTTTAATTATGCCATGATTTTACATTAAATAATTGTAAATAATGTAATTCAAAGCGTAAGTACATTTCCATCACCCAAGTTTTACGAGAGGGAAATTTTGTCGCATCTGCCACTAAATCACTGAGCGCTTCTTTGACTTTTCTGTGCTTCTGCTCTTGCCTGGGAGTTCTAGAGTACACCTGGCCCAGTGGGGTTAGAGGCACAATTTAATATATGTGGAGTTCCTTCGGTCCTTTAAATGAAATGTTACATGGTAGCAAAAGCCTAATGGAGTCAGGACACCTATGTCAGTAGCAAAGAAGGCAAGAGACTCAGCTATTCACCAAACACATAAAAGGACAGCAAGGTCTGCTGAGAGACACCGTGGAGAGTCAAACTTGACCCAAGCTAAGGTGCCACGACTTTTCTCGAAAAACGTGTGTACAATTACTATCGCATAGGTAATTATGCCCAAAGTATAAAACCCAAAGGTCTTAAGTGCAGAGTGAGTTCCTTGTCCCTAAACTCAGTCTCCACACCCAGCCACAGCCCCTCCCACCAGCCCCTTATGTGCCATCCTGGAGCTGCTCCCACTGTGACAGGCGTCGAGTGGGTTTTCCCTTTATACTCCGTGGCACACTGCATGTTACTCTGAAGTTTGTGGTCTTTTGACCACAGACTACCTTAACTTTAAGAGAAGGATCTTATCTATTGATTTCTCAGCTTGTTTTTCCTACCTAAACTTCAAAAGGTACAAAAAATTATTTTTGTCTGCTGTACTAAACGTTAAGCACCTAAATTTTGCATGTTATTTGTATTAGATTCATCAGAATTTTACAGAGGCAGCAAATCTGATAAAGTGTCCATAACTTATGATAACACTTACTGTGTTATAAGTTGTAATAATAACACTTATTACAGTACCTCTGATTCTGCCATCTAAATAATGCCCCATTCTACCATTTAAGAATTAACAATATTCTTATCCTTGTGCCTGAGTATAGTATGGTTTAGGACTTGAAAAATGACAGGTGCTGTTAGTTTGGGAGGTCTCTATGAAAAGAGGTGACCTGTAATCCCTGTTTGAATAGCTGCAGCCTCTCTTAGGCTCTGGGGCTGCTGTTCCCATTAGCTGTGGAGGGCAGTCTGGAGAAAGGGCAGCTGTGGCCATCCCAGCACTGTGCTGCCCTCGTGCGCCTACTGAGAGCAGGTGAGGCTGGCTGAGGTTAGGCTCCAAGTCTCAGGGAGGTGGACAGGTGGACAGTGATTCGAAAAGGCTTGGGTTCCTCTAGGTTGGGGGGCCGGGAGCGAGCACTGCATCCTGCATTAAGAGCAGTATCTCTGCATGTGCCCCCTCAGCTGTGTTGGTGCTGGTCACAAGTGACCTTAGATACATGGTCAGGCTTGGGCTGGGAACTCACTCGGAGTATAGCAAGCACCTAGTAGAATGCCTGTTCTGACGCAGCTGCTCTGCCGAGTGTTTTCTGCTGAAAAGGAACACCAGCGCCAGCTCCTTACCTTGCCTGCTCTCTGTCCTCTCCTGCCACAGCCTCCTGCCTTCCGAGATGGGTAGAGGAACGGTTGAAGGGAATGGTGGCGGGAAGGGCCCAGAGGGCCGCTCTAGTGTAGTGATGATGAAGGAAGGAAAGAAATGGGATGGGCGCTGCCGATGCACAACTCCTGTCATGGTTTATGTTTGGGCAAAGCTGGACCCCTCCCACCCACTATGGGGATGTTGTCCTGAGGGCCGCAGTCCCAGTGGGGCATTGACCCCAAAACCCTTCCCACAGCTGAGCTTCTGCAGTGTGGTGCTTGGCGTTTCCCTTTGGCATGTGCCACTCTGCCACACACAGTACCCCCTTCACACTGGGCAAGGACATGGGGCCTGTCTTCTGAGAGCTCCCTCTGTGATCAACAGAGCTTGCCCATAGCAGCTAAAGGGCTCTTTGCTGAAGGTAACAGGTGAATGTTTAAACAGGTGTTTCAGATAAATGACCAATACCCAAAGGAACAGTTAAACTAAACTGTATGCTGTTTCTGAAAATGGTTTCTCACTTGAGGATTGGAGACATGTACTCAGATAGCTCCAGGCCAGTTCAGAGTCTGATAGTCCATTAGGAACTGTAGGAAATGTAAAAATAAGCCAAATGAATACTAATGAATTGAAAGGATTCTAGAATATTCTCTTTAGTAAAGAAAAAGTACAAGGAAAGTGTGGTTGAAGAAGCCTGATGACATACCGTTCCAAGATGAGAAGATGGAAATTTACTTAGAGAAAGTTTACAAAGGCAGTCCGTGTAGCTGCCTTCACTGGTTTTGCTGAAAGTTCAGAGTGACACTGCCTGGGGCATGATAACAGAAACCCAAACAGCAGCTGGGCGCCCCTCACTGATAGAGCTTGCTGTGCTGTAGATGAGTTGGTGTCTGGTTTCCACTGCTCAGTGTAAGCATAAACTCTCTTTCCTCTGTTCTCAGAATTTGAGGTGAACATTGTTGTGCTCCTTCATGCTGATCACCTCATCACTGAGAACTTCCCATTGAAGCTCTGCAGGACATAGCCCGGGAGGAAGGAAGCACAGAAAACAAGCATCACCGTGTGGAAATCCAGCTGGGTTCTGACTTTTTCAGGGAGCTACAACCAGCAGCATGTACTTGTTTCTGTGATTATTTTGTATCAGAAATGAAATGGACTCCTTAAATTACAGTTACTTTTCTTCATTTCCTTGAGACTTCTGCTTCCACCAGGAGCCTCTAATCAGACATTCTCTTTGAAATTTAACAGGATTTCTTAATGCTATTTGTAAGATCATTTCACAGAAAACATTTCCTATGGCTCCTCCTGACTTACCTGTTCCTTTTTAGGCCCAGGGAAACACTTGTGACAATTTGTGCTTTTCTAGAAAATGAGATCATGGGGATAACAGGAAACTCTCTCCAACTTGCTAATGGATCAAGCTTGGAACGCCCCACTGCAAAGTGTCTGTGGCCAGGCCACATCCAGGACGGCTATAAGCATATTCATTGCTTAGGAAGTCTGTAGATACCCTCCAAGGAGGAGTACAGAGGTTTGGTTTGGTTTTGTTTTCCACTCCAATCTATAGTTCTTTTTATATTTTTCACTATAACTTCAGAATTTTCAGGGAATTGGAAAAAAGTGATTCTTGGTCTCATAGAACTGAAGGAATTTGGCTGGTGCTGGAGTATTCCTGAAGTCTCAAGAACTGGCATAAAATCTCATGCTGCCATATATCTTGAATATATTTAAATGAAGGTTATGTAAGGGGGGAAAATGTATCATTGCTCCTGTTGTTATTGGGTGTGTTCTGAATGACAGGAGATCCATGCCCAAGGTTTGTTGGCGAAGGCCTGTCTACTAAGGGTGGTGCCAGGAAAATTTCCTTGAAGTGATAAACTTGGCCTGCATCTGACCCTCCTGGGGTACCTGTGTTTTGAGCCAGGGTTATTTTTTGGTCTTGAAGCCAGTTTTTCCTCAGTCTCCCTTTGTGATTTGAAGTATATAGTGAGTCTGTTGCATTACATTTCTTCCTTCAAATTCTGCTCACAATTAATGGAACCTCAAAATAACCCATGCCACTTTGCACACTGTCATAGTCCTTCTGGGCAGGCCTGGGCAAGGTCAGCTTATGCTGAAGGCCTCCTGGGCTGTACTTCCATTGTCCTGTAACAGTGACAGGTGACTTGTAATGCTGCAGGTAATCAATCCTGATTTAGGCACTGCTTTATCCTAGGGCTTCACCATTGAAATTGATAAAACTTACTATCTGAGTCATTTGAAAGTTGGTTCCCAGAAAATACATTTCTGGCTTATAAATCTCCACTTTATGTTCACATGACATTAATAATTATGTCTTTGATGATTGTTTAAACTGAGTAGCAGAAAATAAAGAGGCCATACTTTCTAGGAAAACTTAAGAAATCATTTTTAATAAAACAAAAATGTTTTTAATGAATAAAAAAAGCTAATGACACTTTTGAGTAAAGGTTTGGGATGTATATTGCTATATAATTTCTTTAGTAAACTGATTATATAGATATAAATATAATGAGTGCTCTCCTGAGAGAATAATTATTCCCTGAAGAACGGCCAGCCGTCCTGACTACCTTTATCAATTCCTTCAACCCTGAGTGGCCCAGATAAGGGCCTCACGCTGGCCATTTCTTTCCACTTCTTGGCCTGACATCTCCATGATCAATTATTAAACAAAACTCAGATGCCTGGCACTCTTGGACAGCAACAGTCCCAATATTGCCCCGCTGGAGTTGGGGGTGTCCGTTGTCGGAGGCTCAGCGTTGTCAAGTTCTCCAGTTAGAGCAAGAGGTGAGGAAAGGAACAGGGGGATGAAGGAAAGAGGCTGTGAACGTGAATCTAAAACAACATGCTGTCTTGGAAATGCCGTTTTGGCAGGAACACACTTTCGCTCTCTGGTGTGATGGCTGCCGCAGAAATGCGGCCGGGCTCCAATTCTCAGCTGCGAGGGCTTCGTCCACAGTAGGGACCAGGAGCCCGCCGGCTCTGGCAGCTTGCTGGGCACGGGGAACCGTAACCTCACCATAATTCTGTCTGAATTACCTTTTTAAAAATTGGGGGGCTCAGATTTCCTCCACTTTCTGTCACTCGAGTACTGCAGCAGATTCCCCCTTCCTTCTCTAAAACAGGGCTGCCTTTTCCCAGACCCCAGGGCCTGGGGTCGCTCAGGTACTTCGGCAGTTAGGCGTGGTCACGTGACCGAGCCCGGTGGCACGTGGTGGGGCGTGGCCATGCCTGCGGAGCATGCGCAGAGGGCCGGCGCCCTTAGCAATGGTGTCGGGAGGTGACTGAGGTACGTGTTTGCTGAGCCGAGGATGGCACGAGGGCAGCGGGTGCGGCCGGTAGGTGACCCCTCTTTGCGCCGCTGTGCGGTGGGAGCCCGGGTTACACAGCCCGCCCAGCCTTGGCGAAGGTGACGGGGAAGGAATCCCCGCTCCGGCCGGGCCTTGCTGTTGCGGCGTGAGTGGCGCCGAGGACGGGCTGGTGGGCTCCTTTTCCTGCCCAGCCCCCGAGCCAGACCCGGGCTCCGGTAGACTCGGGCGGCGGTCACGTTCCCGGGCAAGGGTGTGGACCACGTTCTCCTGGCGCCGGCGCTGGCCTAGCCCAGCCCTTCCCAGCAAAACTCTGACCAGAGTGGGAGGAAAGTGGGCGTGTTTCACTGCTGCTCTCCATTAAGGCGACAGAAGAGAGTAAGTTACGGCTTTCCCAGGCAGAAGTGTCACCTTAGTACCAAGGGTACCTGGTTGTGGCAGCGTACACATCTCTCCCTTTCAGCAGAGGTTTGGGAGGAGAGCTGAGGCAGGGCGACCACGTCCGCTGTGGGTCTGCCTAGGGCCACCCCTTGAAGCCTTCTGGGGCGCCACTTGTGGGGAGGGTTGTGAGGCACGTTGCTATGCTCAGCGGAGCTCAACCCTGGTAGTCTTGCGCTGCTGAAGTGCCCGGAGACACCAGTAAGGGTTTTGGTCTCGAGAGAGCAATAGCTGTGTGAACATTAGTTGTTACTCTGGATCAGGCCCTGTTCTAAGTGCTGTGTGTTATCTTATTTGTTACAGCAACTTTGTGAGGAGGGAACTGTTATTAGTCCCATTTTACAGATGATGGAATTGTAGTCCAGGGAGAGCCAAGGCACCTTTTCGTGACTCCTCATGCACCACTCCCATACCAGGAAAGCAGTCCATTTAACGTGGTACGGGTTTATCTGCAATGAAGCCTGTTCCCTCCTCACCTTGATTCATTTGGGTTTCACTTTGCCATGGCATTGACATGCTTTTCTAGGTATTTGCCTGTTTGTGCGTCACATGTTAGTTATTAGCTGTGTCACTACATATGTTGAGATGGACCATGGGCTCTGCTACCTTTGTTTGTGGTTCTAATTGCCTCAGTTTGGATCCGCTGAATTAAATGAAAATGAAGTCATGAGACTGAGGAAATCTTTTGCAGCTGGATTCCGTTAAGAATGAGGTGAGTGATTAAATGACCAGAAAGTGCAAGCTAAATTACATTCGGTCCTGGATTTCCTTGTAGAGTAAAAATATCAGGGTATGAAAGGACTAAAATGTCCTTTAGTAAATGTCCTCACAGTAGCCTTCTGAAGGTTTTATTATTCTCACCTGAGAGCTAAGCAAGCTGAGACACGAAGAAGCTATGACCTGCCTATGCCACATAGATCTGTTGATTCCTGGTCTAATATCCCCACCCTTACCCCCACACACAACTGCTTACTCCAAGCAAGAGAGGATTATAGTAGATAGCCATTGCTATAGTGTGGGTGTGATCTCGTTCATGGGGCCACAATCAGTTCTTCATGAACCACTATTATTGAAGCCATTCTTCATAGTTTCCAGCTGGTTTTCAAAAAGGTGGAATAAAGTTTTATGCAAAAAAATCTGTTTTCATTATGAGATTTATCCAAGGTAACTCATTTTTGATCTCTGAATAAGAGTAAAGATGAAGAAATTGCAAGGCAGAGAAATTGCCTTGGAAAACACTGTGTGAAGATAAGACCTTTTGGATATAATTCTGTAGTCCCAATGCTGTCAAAACTAGCCACTTTGGCTAGGCGAGGTGGCTCACGCCTGTAATCCTAGCACTCTGGGAGGCCAAGGCAGGCGGATTGCTCTAGGACAGGAGTTCAAAACCAGCCTGAGCAAGAGAGAGATCCCGTCTCTAGTATATATAGAAAAGAAATTAATCGGCCAACTAATCTATATAGAAAAAAACTAGCTGGGCATGGTGGCGCATGCCCTGTAGTCCCAGCTACTCGGGAGGCTGAGGCAGCAGAATTGCTTGAGCCCAGGAATTTGAGGTTGCTGTGAGCTAGGCTGATGCCACGGCACTCGCTCTAGCCTGGGCAACAAAGCGAGACTCTGTCTCAAAAAAAAAAACAAACAAAAAAAAACTAGCCACTTTGGTAGGTGGAAAAATCAGAGTATATCATTCAAAAGAAAGGAGGAAAAGGCAGACTGAGGAAATAAAACTCAGCAAGGATCCCTGATGCCTCACTTTACTTTTCTGTGAATTTTGCTGGTAAAATGGGAATGCCTCAGACCCCCTGCCCTGTCCAGGGGGGCAGGATTCTGACATTATAGACTTTTTCATATCCACACTCAGCCAGTCCCTCTAAAACCTTGCATATAATATACAAAAATCATACTGTGGAGGTTTTAAGTACTTAGAAAAATACAAAGACATGATTTGTGCTCTCGTCTGCAACATTTTGTCTGATTATGAGGGGCGACAGCTTGGTCAAGACCAAGGGTTAGGATAATGCCACAATGTTTGGTTTGTCAGTGACCTGCATCTACGTCATCTCCTGAGAAGATGTCTTTGTTTGGTTCCCTTTACATACATCCAGCTGTGGTAGGCTAAGTGTGAAGGCTTATGGAGAAAGCAGCTCAAGAGAAAAGGATTACTAACATTGGGTTTGTGTAGCAAAGGCCCTGTAAGGTAGGTTGTAGTCACTTCCTTAGTAGTCACTGTCTCCCACTTGGGTCAAGGACTAGATTCAAAAACTAGACCACAACCTCTGGGTCTTAAAGGAAGGGGACCATCTTTTCTGTCTGCAGATGTGTAGTCACTGATGAGGTCTCCTGGAGGTGAGGCCAGTCACCCAGATATACTGCTGCATAATACACCAAGAAAAGGATGCCCTCAGACTTAGCTGTGGGAAGGTGGTGGAAAAGAGCAGAAAATTAAAATCTTATTCACTTGTGTTTTAAAACAGTTTTCAAACAGTTTTCAACACATACTGTTTTCAATACATACTGATGTATTAAGAAAACCAAAAGTCAAATCTAAAAATCCTGTATATAAAAAAGATAAGGCAAGTGTAAGAAATGAGTATATTTTCACCACCATGGTCCTTTGTATCTTATAACAAATACATATCCATGGAAGTTTTATAAAAATCAATTATACTACCAAAAAGAAAATCTCAATAAAATTAAGTAGAAATTGCCCAAGCCTTATATGCTCTAGTGTAATAAAATTAGAAATACCAAAAGGAAAAAATCAAATTTCATATGACCACTCAAAAGTTTTGTAACATTTTTCAAAGAGAAAACTAAAACTCTAAAGTTTAATGAAAATTAGCATACTATATAGCAAAAGGTTTGCAGTATGGCTAGCTACTGTGCACAGAGAAAAATTCATAGCCTTAAATATGTTTATCATTGCACCAGAGAAAATGAAAACTGATAAATTAAACATTCAGATTAAAAGTCTAGAAAAACAAGAACGAAATAAAGAGGAAAGAATAGCAGTAAAAAGAATTAAATGCGGCGCCGGACAAAGGGAAGCGAAGCCGGAGCTGCGGGCGCTTTTTCTGCCCGCGGTGTCTCAGATTCATTCTTAAGGAACTGAGAACTTAATCTTCCAAAATGTCAAAAAGACCATCTTATGCCCCACCTCCCACCCCAGCTCCTGCAACACAAATGCCCAGCACACCAGGGTTTGTGGGATACAATCCATACAGTCATCTCGCCTACAACAACTACAGGCTGGGAGGGAACCCTGGCACCAACAGCCGGGTCACGGCATCCTCTGGTATTACGATTCCAAAACCCCCAAAGCCACCAGATAAGCCGCTGATGCCCTACATGAGGTACAGCAGAAAGGTCTGGGACCAAGTAAAGGCTTCTAACCCTGACCTAAAGTTGTGGGAGATTGGCAAGATTATTGGTGGCATGTGGCGAGATCTCACTGATGAAGAGAAACAAGAATATTTAAACAAATATGAAGCAGAAAAGATAGAATACAATGAATCTATGAAGGCCTATCATAATTCCCCCGCTTACCTTGCTTACATAAATGCAAAAAGTCGTGCAGAAGCTGCTTTAGAGGAAGAAAGTCGACAGAGACAGTCTCACATGGAGAAAGGAGAACCGTACATGAGCATTCAGCCTGCTGAAGATCCAGATGATTATGATGATGGCTTTTCAATGAAGCATACAGCCACTGCCCGTTTCCAGAGAAACCACCACCTCATCAGTGAAATCCGTAGTGAGAGTGCGGTGCCAGATGTTCGGTCAGTTGTCACGACAGCCAGAATGCAGGTCCTCAAACGACAGGTCCAATCTTTAATGGTTCATCAGCGCAAACTAGAGGCTGAACTTCTTCAAATAGAGGAACGACATCAGGAAAAGAAGAGGAAATTCCTGGAAAGCACAGATTCATTTAACAATGAACTTAAAAGGTTGTGCGGTCTGAAGGTGGAAGTGGATATGGAGAAGACTGCAGCTGAGATTGCACAGGCAGAGGAGCAAGCCCGCAAAAGGCAGGAGGAAAGGGAAAAGGAGGCAGCAGAGCAAGCGGAGCGCAGTCAGAGCAGCATTGTTCCTGAGGAAGAGCAAGTGGCAAATAAAGCTGAGGAAAAGAAAGATGACGAGAACATTCCAATGGAGACAGAGGAGACACACCTTGAAGAAACAACAGAAAGCCAACAGAATGGTGAAGAAGGCACCTCAACTCCTGAGGACAAGGAGAGTGGGCAGGAGGGGGTTGACAGTATGGCAGAGGAAGGAACCAGTGACAGCAACACCGGCTCAGAGAGCAACAGTGCCACAGTGGAGGAGCCACCAACAGATCCCATACCAGAAGACGAGAAAAAGGAATAGATGTTGCCTTGTTTTATGTGTTCTAAATACTTTTTTAAATGAAAAATGTTTTTTGGTTTAAAAAAAAAAAAAGAATTAAATGCATAGGAAAGCAAAAACACTGGAAAATTTATAAATAAGGCCGTGAGTTGGTATTAATATAATAGTTTGAAAAGTCTACTTCAATTGGCAGATCTTTAATAGAATGAAACACAATGCAATGAGAAAAGTATATAACTCTAGGAACAATTTCAGATAGGAACTTGATAAAAATTATAGTACAGTATTACCATCTCTATTAATAAATTTGGTAACATCAATAAAATACATAGTTACTCCAGAAAAGGTAAACTACCAGAATAAAATGATTGCCTATGGAAGAAATTGAGAACATTGTCAAAGATATATCACTAAAGAAGGTGCCAAGCCCAGATGGTTTTATAGCAAGTTTCTATCAAACCTTTAGGATCAGATAGTTCCTCTGCTCTTTAAACTGTTACAGGTTATGGGAAAAGATGAAAAGTCTCCCGGTTTATTTTATGAAGCCAGCATAGCCCTAATATCAAAACTTGACGTATAAATTGGGATTAGGTTTAGCTGTGAATAAGGGAGACCCAAAGAGTGGCTTCAGTAAGACTTGCATAAAAGTCCACAGGTAGGGAGTCCAGAGCTAGCTTGACAACTTAGAGCTGTGAAGTCCTTAGCGACCTAGATTACTTACAGCTTACTGTGCCACCTTTTCTAGGGTCTGGCCCTTGTCTTCATGATCTAGGATAGTAGCAGCTAGTTCCAGTCATCACATCTGCATTCTGGACAGTAGAGTGGGGGGAGGGATGAAGGCAAAATAATAAAGGTTTGGGAGAAGCAAAGGCCAGGTGCCAGCTCTCTATTAAGGAAGGTTTTCAGAAGCTAACATATCAGCCTATATCTTATAATCAAGAACTTACTCCTGACATGGCCACACATTGCTGCATAGAAACATTGTATTTATTCAGTGTTGTCATGTGCCTAAAAGAAAAAGAGAAATCAGAGGTTTGAGAAAAAGGGAATATTAATAAGATAGAAAAAACTACAAACTCACATCCCCAATGTGGGTACAGTAATCCTAAATAAAATATTAGCAAGTTGATTTTTCAATGTATTAAAAGACCAATATAAGGGATCTTCAAAAAATTAATGGAAAATGTACATTATGAAAAAACTATGCATGGATTTCAAAAATTTTTTGTACCAAAATAAACTAACACTAACATGTCTGAACAGGATCTAGTTTGAGGCACTAAGATGGATAAGTCATCACTTTAGAAAAGGTCCCTATCAGAGCATCATGAATTCTGCTATTAATAAAAGTGAAGCAAGAAGAAACATCAACTTTATGATGAAGCTTGGATAGAAGACTGGTGAAACCACTGATACTTAACACAAAGTTTATTGGAATGGTACCCCCACAGAAATTAGGAGTTTGCAAATGGATAATTCATTTTAAGAAGGGACAAGATGATGAAAATGAAGGCAGATCATCCATATCAATTTGAGGGAAAAATTAATTTTGTTCATGCCCTAATTGAAGAGGACTTATGATTAACAGCAGAAACAATAGATGACATCATAGATATCTGAATTATTTCAACTTAACAGAATTCTGACTGAGAAATTGAAGTTAACCAAACTTTCCACTCAATGAGTACCAAAACCATTGTGCCCAGATCAGTTGCAGACAAGAGCAGAGCTTTCAATGGAAATTTTAAATTAGTGGGATCAAAATCCTGAAGCATTTCTTCAAAGAATTGTAACAGCAGATGAAACGTGGCTTTACCAGCACAATCCTGAAGACAAAGCGCAATCAAAGCAATTGCTAGCAAAAGGTGGAAGTGGTCTGGTCAAAGAAAAAGGGCCAGTCAAGTGCAAAAGTCATGGCAACAGTTTTTTGGGATACTCAAGTCATTTTGCTTGTTGACTTTCTGGAGGGCCACAGAATGATAACATCTGCTTATTATTAGAGTGTTTTGAGAAAGTTATCCAAAGCTTTAGCAGAAAAACACCCAGGAAAACTTCAGCAGAGAGTCATTTTCTATCATAACAATGCTCTTGCTCCTTCCTCTCATCAAACAAAGGCAATTTTGTGAGAGTTTCAGTGGGAAAATCAGCACCTACCTTACAGTGCTAATTTGGCTCCTTCTGACCTCTTTTTGTTTCCCAATTTTAAACAAATCTTTAAACCAGCCTGAGCAATATAGCAACACCCCATCTCTATAAAAAAATTTTCAAATTTAGTTGGGCGTGGTGGCCTTTGCCTGTAGTCTCAGGTAGTCAGAGGCTGAGGCAGTAGGATTGCTTGAGCTCAGGAATTTCAGGTTACAGTGAGCTATCATTGAGCCACCACACTCTAGCCTAGGTGATGGAGTGAGACTTTGTGTCAAAAAATAAAAACAAAAAAGCCAAAAAACTTTAAAAGGTACCTTTTTTTTTCAGGAGAAAATAATGTAAGAAAGACTGCATTGACATGGTTAAATTCCTTAAGATTCTCAGTTCTTTAGAGATGGGCTAAATGGCTGGTATCATCATTTACAAAAGTGTCTTGAACTTGATGGAGCTTAAGTTGAGAAATTGTTTCTATTTTTTACTTTAATTCCATTTTTCCATGAACTCTTTGAAGTCCCTTCATATATCATGACCAGAAAGGAAGGTTTATTCCAGGTATGCAAGGACAGTTCAACACTAGGAGATCTGTTACAATAACTTACCACATTAATGGGTTAAAGGAGAAGACACATGATCATCTTGATGGATGCCATAAAGTATGTATTCTTTTCACTTATATTTTGGAAATTTCAAACATACAGAAAAGGAATCATATAGATGATGTCATACCCATGTCATTTCCATTCTGTTTTGTTGACGTCTTTGAGATATAATTCATGGATCATAAAATTCACCCATTTAAAGTGTACAGTGGCTCTTAGTATATTCAAAGTTGTGTAGCCATCACTATAATCTAAGTTTAAAACATTTTTCACCCCAAAAAGAAACACTGAATCCATTAGCAGTCAGTCTCAATACTCCCCTTCTTCTCCCTTTATCCCTAAGCAACCACTAATTTGCTTTGTCTCCATAGGTTTGCCTGTTCTGGGCATTTTATATGAATTGAGTCATATATCAGTTATGTGGTCTTCTGGGACTGGCTTCTTTGACTTAGCATAGTGTATTATATTATATCCATATTATAACATGTGTCAGGACCTTATTACTTTTTATTGCCAAATAACATTTCATTGTATCAATATACCATACTGTGTTTATACATTCATTAGTTGACAGAAATTTGAGTTGCTTCTACTTTTTGGCTATTAAGAAATGCTGCTATGAACATTCATATACAAGTTTTTGTGTGGACATGTTTTTCTTTTTCTTAGATACACATCTAAGAATACAGTTTTAGGGTTATATACCAGCTGTATGTTTAACTTTTTGAGGAACTGCCAAAATGTTTTCCAAACATTTTACATTCCCACCAACAATACATGATGGTTTTAGTTTTCCACATCCTCATCACCACTGTTACTGTCCATATTTTTTATCATTAAAAAAAAAAGTGCGTATGAAGCAGTATCTCATTGTGATCTTGATTTGCATTTCCCTAATGACTAATGATATTGAGCATCTTTTCATGTGCTTATTAGCCATTTGTATATCATCTCTGGAGAAGTATCTTTTTGGACCCTTTACCCATTATTTAATTGAAGTGGTAAGAGTGAACATCCTTGTATTGTTCTGATCTTGGGTGAGAGATTTCAGTCTTTCAATATTAAGTATGATGTTATATGTTATTATAAGGTTGAGGAAGTTCCCTTCTATTCCTAGTTGTTGAACATTTTAATCATAAAAGAGTGTATTTTGTCATATGCTTTCTCTGCAACTATTGAGATGACCATATGACTTTTGCCATTTACTCCTAATATGATATATTAGTTGACTTTTATATATTAAGTCAACCTTGCATTCCTGGTATAAATCTCATTTGTTAATAGTATATGTTGGAGGATTTGGTTTGTTAGTATTTTGTTGAGGGTTTTTGCATCTATATTCAAAAAAGCAATTGATCGAGGCATCTATTATTCATTTAATAACTCATTAAAGAAGGAATATACAGAATTTTAAAACTTTAAATATCTTAAATAATAGACTTATAAAAATTAATAGGAAACATCACCCTGCCTAATAAAACATTAGATATATCTTAATTTTGAGAGCTAAAATAATCATCTTAAATAATTATTGCATTTTAATAATGATTGCATCTTAAATAATTAATGCATCTTAAATAATTATTCAGACTTGCCTTTGAAGTCTTTGCCAATGCAGTAAGATAAGAGAAGGATTTATTAAATGGACTAGGAGATCTCATAGTGATAGTTACGTGTGTTTCTAACAAAACAAATGCTCTTAACCTGGATTTAACTGAGTGGGCCAGCTACTTAAACTAGTATAGCCTGGCAGGGTAGTTCCACCTGACACAGTGATAAATCAATCCAGAACCTTTTCATGGGTGCATGATTAGGGAAAGGGATGTAGATCTATCTGCACATCATGCATGAGATTATAGGGACTGTGAAAGCGGGTAAATAGAAGTCTCTAGACTTTAACTGGGTACCAGACAGCATTCCTTTCTGTCTAAATGTATCCTTACAAACTACAGTCTTCCCTCAGTATCCTCTGGGTATTGGTTCAAGGTCCCATGCAGATACCAAAATCCATGCACATACTCAAGTCCTGCAGTCAGCCCTGCAGAACCTCTGGATACTAAAAGTCAGGTCTCTGTATATGCAAGTTTTGTGTCCCATGATGCTGTATTTTGGATCTGTGTTTGGATGCAGAAAAAAAATCCACATATAAATGGATCTGTGCAGTTCAAACTCGTGTTGTTCAAGGGTCAACTATACTTTGTTTTCCACTTAAGCTAACCTGAGTGAGTTTCTACTCCTTGTACTAGGTATGCACATTGCAAAAGACATGAAATCATTTAATTTTATCTATGTTTTGCTCACAGTAGAGACTAAAGTGTAAAATACAAGGAATAATTTTAACAAACTTGTTAATAAGACATGCACAAGACCTATTTGAAGAACTTTCTAAAATATTATTTAGAACCACTTTTAAAATTGAAATAAATCCAGTGTTATTATATAGAAAGGATGCTAATTCCCAAATTAAAAAATTTTAACATTTAACCTTATTCTATACAAAAATCCTAATGTAATATTTTCTTTGGATGTAAAATTCATATATAAATATGTCAGAATTTCATTGACATTTTGAAAATGAAATATTAAAAGGTAGTACCAATCCAGACAGTATTAAAAAGATACAAAAAATTGAAAGTGTGGTAGCGGTGCCAGAAAGACAAGTCAGTTAAATATAAAATCTATAGGGTGTATATGTAAGAATTTAGTATATTATAAAATGATATTTCAAATTAGTTGAAAAACTGATTAGTTGTGTTATTGCCAGTGCTCACCTTCAATTCTAAATGTATAAAGATGTAAAAGTAAATAATGACACAATACCAGAAAATACAGATATCCATTAGATGGTGAAACTTTCAGAATCATACCAAGGACAAAAGTCATCAAGAAAAAATATTGCTAGAAAAAGTAAAAAATTTTAATACATAATTTAAAGTGAAAGGAAAAATTTGGGAAATATTTATGACACGACACACAATTATTAACATATAAGTATTATTAACATATAAGTATTCTTACAAATCAATATGAAAAATATGAACATTCCAAAAGAAAAGACAAGATGTCAATAGGCAATTCACAAAATAAAAAGGAAAGCACAAAGTCAGTAAACATGTGAAAAAAGTTTTCTTTAATTTCCTCATGTATACAAACATGCTTATTAAGCATTTGTCTGCCATTGCTCATGGATACCCAGTGATGGAGTAAAAAGTATGGTTTCTATGAAATTGAAAGGTAAGTAAGTTCTCTTTATTAAGGGAAATGTACGAACAAAATTATATAAACATTTTCTTTGATTCAGAAAGCTACGAAATCAGAAATGTGAAAATGCAGTTCACATGGCCTAAGTCGTTGTTCAGATTCTATGTTACAAATTTCTGTTCTCTGCTCACAACAGAAACAAAAGGATACAAAATATTTATGACTCAGGAAGATAACCTGTTGCCAATGAATCCCATTGAGACAAGCAAAGAACACTAAGCCTAATTCCTGGCTCTGCTCCATCATAAGTGTCAAATTCTGTTGTGTGTCTTTTTGCTAATCAGTAATACAAAATAAATAGGTGAATTATTTAATTAGATGAAAGAAAAAGAAAGTATTCTCTTTCTACTAAATATTTTAATCTAGACAGTCTTTAACCACATGTAATATATTCTTCAACCTCTTGTTTCAAATGAATTGTTTGATGGAACATGGGTTTTAATTTTTAATTTAAAAATTTTAGGCCGGGTGTGGTGGCTCATGCCTGTAATCCTAGCTCTCTGGGAGACCGAGGTGGGCGGATTGCTCGAAGTCAGGAGTTCGAAACCAGCCTGAGCAAGAGCGAGACCCCGTCTCTACTATAAATAGAAAGAAATTAATTGGCCAACTAATATATATAGAAAAAAAATTAGCCGGGCATGGTGGTGCATGCCTGTAGTCCCAGTTACTTGGGAGGCTGAGGCAGAAGGATTGCTTTAGCCCAGGAGTTTGAGGTTGCTGTGAGCTAGGCTGATGCCACGGCACTCACTCTAGCCTACGCAACAGAGCGAGACTCTGTCTCAAAAAAAAATTTTTTTTAAATAATGTTCATTCGCAAGTTAATGCCTATTATTTTTACCTATGTTATATATGAAATCACATCTTTCCTCTTGCTTTCTGTGTTTTCCATTAAGCTTCTAATTTGGGAGATAGCTTCTATGATTTATTATCTCCTTGATGCAGAAAGTATAATAGACATATTATTAAAGAATTAGTGTTTTCTACACTTTCTAAGCATAAGCACAACCTAGATCTTTACAGATCAACATTTATGTCCTCATAGAATTTACAATTACAGAGAATGAAAGGTACAGATTTTAAAAGTTGTATTTAGGAACTTCTGCTTCTACCCATGGAGGAGTAACTGGTATCAGAACTGCTTTCTTATGGTAAATAACTAGAAACTAGACAAAATATCTAAAGCACCTGCATTTATTTAATTTATTTATTTTAATTTCAGCATATTATGGGGGTACAAATGTTTAGGTTACGTATATTACCCTTGCCCAACCCGAGTCAGAGCTTCAAGCATGTCCATCCCCCAGATGGTGCACACTGCACCCATTAGGTGTGAATATACCAATCTCCTCCTCCCCTCTCCCATCTGCCCAACACCCAGAGAATGTTATTACTATATGTGTGATTAAGCATTGATCAGTTAATACCAATTTGATGGTGAGTATATGTGGTGCTTGTTTTTCCATTATTGGGATACTTCACTTAGTAGAATGGGCTCCAGCTCTATCCAGGATCATACAAGAGGTGCCATATCACTATTGATTTTGTGGCTGGGTAGAACTCCATGGAGTACATATACTATATTTTATTAAACCACTCATGTATTCATGGGCACTTGGGTTGTTTCCACATCTTTGCAATTGTGAATTGTGCTGCTATAAGCATTTGAGTGCAGATGTCTTTTTTATAGAATGTCTTTTGTTCTTTTGGGTAGATGCCCAGTAATGGGATTCAAATGGTAGATATCTCTTTGAGGTATCTCCATATTGCTTTCCTCAGAGGTTGTACTAGTTTACAGTCCCATCAGCAGTGTATGAGTGTTCCTGTCTCCACATCCACACCAACATTTATTGTTTTGGGACTTTTTGATAAAGGCCATTTTCACTGGAGATAAGTGATATCTCATTGTGGTTTTGATTTGCATTTTTCTGATGATTAGAGATGTTGAGCATTTTTTCCTATGTTTGTTAGCCATTAGTCTATCTTCTTTTGAAAAGTTTCTGTTCATGTCTTTTGCCCACTTTTTGATAGGGTGGTTTGATTTTTTTCTTGCTGATTTTCCTGAGTTCTATATAGATTCTGGTTATCAGCCCTTTATTGGATATGTAACATGTGAGTATTTTCTCCCATTTTGTAGGTTGTCTGTTTGTTCTCATGATAGTTTCCTTGGCTGTGCAGAAGCTTTTTAATTTGATCAGGTATCATTTATATATTTTTGTTGTTGCTGTGATTGCCTTTGGGGTCTTCTTCATACATTCTTTGCCTAGGCCAATGTCTTTAAGAGTTTTTCCAAAATTTTCTTTTAGAATTCTTATTCTAAAGGTTTCACACCTTAGGTTCAAGTCTGTTATCCACCATGAGTTGATTTTCATGAGAGGTGAAAGGTGTGGATCCTATTTCAGTCTTCTACATGTGGCTATCCAGTTTTCCCAGCACCATTTATTGAATAAGGATTCTTTTACCCAGTGTATGTTTTTGTTGTCTTTGTCAAAGATTACATGGCTGTATGAGGATGTTTTTAGATCTGGGTTCTCAGTTCTATTCTGTTGGTTTATGTCTCTGTTCTTGTGCCAATACAATGCTGTTTTAGTTAGTACAGCCTTGTAGTGTAGCTTGAAGTCTAGTAAACTGATGCCTCCCAATTTGTTCGTTTTGTTTAAGACTGTTTTTGCTATATCGGGTCTTCTCTGGTTCCATAGGAAGCATAGAATTACTTTTTGTAGATCTGTGAAAAATGATTAAAACACCTGCATTTATTTTAGTTTATTTTTTTGGCCTGGTACAGTGAACTTTATTGATGATACGCAACAAGGTGGGGCTTCCTAGGCCCCTCCCATTCTTCAGGGACTCTGGCATGGAAACTGCGTTGTGAGGAGGGGAGATTCTCAGTGAGGTGGGGACTGAGGAGGCAGGGACACCCCAGCGGCTGAGGCCCCTCTCTTCCTTGGTGCTCTGGCTGGGGCTGATGGTCCAGGACTCTTACTCCTTGGTGGCCATGTGGACCATGAGGTCCACCACCCTGTTGCTATAGCCAAATTCATTGTCATACCAGGCAACGAGCTTTACAAAGTGGTCGTCGAGGGCGATGCCAGCCCCAGCATCAAAGGTGGAAGAGTGGGTGTCACTGTTGAAGTCGGAGGAGACAACCTGGTGCTTAGTGTAGTCCAGGATGCCCTTGAGAGGGCCATCCGCCGCCTGCTTCACCACCACCTGGATGTCATCATACTTGGCCGGCTTCTCCAGACAGCAGGTCAGGTCCACCATAGACACGTTGGCAGTGGGCATGCGGAAGGCCATGCCAGTGAGCTTCCCATTCAGCTCGCGGATGACCTTGCCCACAGCCTTGGCTGCGCCAGTCAACGCAGGGATGATGTTCTGGAGAGCCCCACGACCATCATGCCACATCTTCCCAGAGGGGCCATCAACGGTCTTCTGGGTGGCGGTGACAGCATGGACTGTGGTCTTGAGTCCCTCCATGATGCCAAAATTGTCATGGATGACTTTGGCCAGGGGGGCTAAGCAGTTGGTGGTGCAGGAGGCATTGCTGACGATGGTGTGGTTGTTTTGGTACTTGTCGTGGTTCACCCCCATCACAAACATGGGGGCATCAGCAGAGGTGGCAGAGATGATGACCCTTTTAGCACCCCCATCTAGGTGAGCCCTGGCCTTCTCCAGGGTAGTGAAGAGACCAGTGGCCTCCACAACGTAATCAGCACCCGCTTCACTCCATTTGATTTTGGTGGTATCTCGCTCCTGGAAGATAGTTATGGGCTGGCCATTGATGACAAGCTTCCCGTTCTCCGCCTTGACCGTGCCATGGAACTTGCCGTGGATGGAGTCATACTGGAACATGTAGATCATGTAGTTGAGGTCAATGAAGGGGTTGTTGATGGTGACAATATCCACTTTGCCAGAGTTAAAAGCAACCCTGGTGACCAGGGGCCCAACACAGCCAAAGCTGTTTATTCTGGCCTTCACTTTCACCATGGTGTCTCGGAGATGGTGTTGGCGCTGCGTGAGAAGATGCGGCTGTCTGTCGAACGGGAGGACCAGAGAGCCAACACCTGCATTTAGACATTGCAACAATTAGCGCAGGACTAAGATCCCTGGAAAAAGGGAAACAAATAAGATAAGCCTTGTGAGTACCCAGGCTTGTGCCTGGATGCACAGTCTGCGCCACAGCATCTGGAGTGGGAGCCAAGCCAAGCTCATCAGTTTGCTGAGTCAGAGATTGGAGTGTCAAAGCCAAAATACTGGCAAGAAGAAATTTAAATAGAGAAAGAGCTCCAGAAATTTCTTCAGAAAGGGTTCCCCTAGAATCTTGCTAAAAACTTAGTTGTATTTGTGTAGGATGAAACTCCAGATGGGGAGGAAATAACCAGGTATCTGTAAACTGGACAGTTCCCAGAATGAACACAGTGCCAAGAGACATTTGAATTCCAGCCAGCCAGAGTAAAGAGACTTCACTAAACACCTGAGGTATTCAATAAGGATTCCAGAAGGGTCACACTTAAGTAGCAGGCCTAAAATAGTCCTAAAATAATGGCCACTCTAGCCTTGAAAGGATCAAGTTGATCTGCAAGCAGTTTAGCTGCCAGCTAAAGCAAACTCAACACTCTTTAAGGGAAGCCACAAAATCCAGACACTCAAGAGGATAATATATCTAGCATCCAATCAAAGTTACTAGACATTCTCAAGAAGCCAGAGAATATGATTCATAAAAAGTAGAAAAATCAGTAAAAAGAAACATATCCAACAATGATATAATTAGCAGACAAGGAATTTAAAACAGCTGTTGGAAATATGTCCAGATTTATGGCAAAACATGGAACATAATGAGAAAATGAATATATTTTTAAAAGCCAGAGTTCTAGATATAAAAATTTTGAAATGAAAAATGGATTGGCTTAATAACAAATGGACACTACTGAATAAAAGAGTGAATTTGAAAGAAAGCAACTGAAATGATTCAGACTGAAGCACAGAGCAGGGGAAAAAAGGACTAAAATGAATGGACAAAGACTTAGTGACCTGTGGGGTGATGTCAAGTAGTCTAACACACATATAACTGAAGTTCCAGAAAAAAAAGTGTTGGGCCAGGTGCAGTGGCTCATGCCTGTAATCCCAGCAACCTGGGAGGCTGAGGTGGGGGGAGTTGCCTGAGCCCAAGAGATATGAGTGCACCACTGCATTCTAGCCTAGGTAATAGAGTGAGACTCCATCTCTGAAAAAGAAAAATAAATTTAAAAAAAAGTGTTGGGTGGGGGTAGAAAAATACTTACATGGCAAATTTTTCCAAATTTGAAAATTAAAACAGTCAAATTATGTTATATCAATATCAACACAATGTTATGCTAGATAGTTGTTAAATCAGATAAATTTATCCTAATGTGCTAATATGGAAAGGTCAGGTATAGTATACAGTGAGAAAGGTATATAAATAATACATATTCATTGGTCCCATTTGTGAATTTTGAGGATGCACATCATGTCTGTATATGAAATAGATACACAGCAAACTGGGATATGGAAGTATTCACAATGAGCTTTTAGAAGTGGTTTCCTCTAGGAAAGGGGCAAAAGTAGAGGGATACAGAGAAACAATTTGGGTTTTTGTTTGTTTTTTCTGTAGTATTTGGATTTTTATCCTAACCATGTATTTTTTCATATTTAAAACAATTTTAAATTGTAAGAAATGCCATGTGTTCTCATGTTCTGTCACTGAGAGGACTGTACACTGGCATATATGCACATATGTATACACACACACACACAAATATATATACAGATTAAGGAAAAAGGGATCTACAATTTTTTTTCTTTTTTGAGACAAGGTCTCACTCTGTCGTCTGGGCTAGAATGTCATGGCCTCATCATAGCTCACTATAACCTCAAACTCCCAGGTTCAAGTGATCTTCCTGCCTCAGCTTCCCAAGTAGCTGGGACTGTGGCACATGCCACAATGCTCTGCTAATTTTTTCTATTTTTGGTAGAGATGGCATCTTGCTTTTGCTCAGGCTGATCTCAAACTCTTGACCTCAAGCGATCCTCCCACCCTGGCCTCCCAGAGTGCTAGGATTATAGGCATGAGCCATCACACCCAGCCTACAAAAATATTTTTAAAGAGAAAGTATACTATGATAATTTTCATATTACATCTTTACTAGCATACACAGTTCATCCTGGGATTTACATAAACTTGTTTGAAACAGAAGAAAATAGCACAGAGAACTTAGAAAACCAAGAGCAAAAACTGAGACCCGTGAAGAAGAGATTGTTTAACTCAAAGAGTCCAAGGGAAGATGTCCTTCAAGTGCTTAGGCTTCCCCGTCACACCTACGTCCATGACCTGGTTCCTGTCCACACTAGTCAGGAAAATCTGTGCCCAAATGAAGCCGCCGAAGCTAGCTGATGGGATGAATAAGGAAGGCTATTGCCTTAGTTCATTTCTGCTGCCCTGGCAAAAAACATCAGACAAAAACCTTCATAATTGCCCAGATAATTTATAAAGAACAGAAATTTAGGCCGGGCGTGGTGGCTCACGCCTGTAATCCTAGCACTCTGGGAGGCTGAGGCGGGTGGATCGCTCAAGGTCAGGAGTTTGAAACCAGCCTGAGCAAGAGCGGGAGCCTGTCTCTACTAAAAATAAATAAATTAATTGGCCAACTAAAAATATATAGAAAAATAATTAGCCAGCCATGGTGGCACATGCCAGCTACTCAGGAGGCTGAGGCAGGAGGATCACCTGAGCCCAGGAGTTTGAGATTATTGTAAGCTAGGCTGATGCCATGGCACTCTGGCCCTGGCAATAGAGTGAGACTGTCTCAAAAAAAACAAAACAGAAGTTTATAATGAACAGGAATTATTTATAGTGAACAGAAATTTCCTAACAGTTCTGGAGGCTGCAAAGTCCAAGACCAAAGCATGGCATCTTTGGTTGTCTGGTGAGGGCTGATGTCTGCTTCCAAGGTGGCCTTACTGCTGCATCCTCACGTAGCAGAAGGCAGAAGAGCAAGCAGCAAACACTGCATGAAGACTCTTTTACAGAAGTGACTTGATCCGATTCACGAGGGAGGAGCTCTCATGAGCTAATCATTTCTTAAAGGCCCCCACCTCTTAAAGCCATCCCATTGGCTGTTAATTTTCAATACCTGAATTTTTAAGGGGACACATTCAAACCATAGCAGCTGTCAGTTTCCTTTTTTATTTTGCTAGAAAGTCTCTAAAGGCAGGAGAGTCCAATTCTCTCATCTGACACGTTGTTTGTAACAGTAACAGCTGACACCTGTCTAGATTTTGTGTGTGTGCCAGGCACTGCTCTAGTGTTACACCTATTAACACATTTAAATCTCACAAGAGCCCTGTGAAGGACATACTCTTGTGCCCCCATCTCACAGTTGAGAAGATTAAGGCATGGAGAAGTATGTGTAACTTGCCCAAGTTTACCCAGTGGTGTGTTGGAGCTCATGCTCTCAGCCACTGCTGATCCCCAAGTAGGTCCCTGACTTCAGAGAGAAGTCACCAGAGCACTTCTCAAGTGCCTTTCAGGCCTGGTCTGCACGTGATTCATCAGTTGTCTGCCTGGCAAACGTCAGCAACCCACAGGTGCCCTGGTTCTCAACCTTGGCTGTGTGTTGGAAGTACCTGGGGTGGGGCTTTTACAAGCCCGTGGGGCCACAACCTGACCAGCTACTCCAGAACCTCAGTGCTCCCCAGGCGATCACAGGTGCACCCTTGGAGCTTCAGTCACTGAGGACGGTGCTTTCTGACCAGCTTGATAACTTCACCCTGAGATGTGGAGCAATAATTTGGGGGGCACAAGGTTTCCCTTCCCTCCCCCATGGGCCCACCTCCCATTGCAGAGCATGAGTGGCTTCTGTATGCTTTCTGGCTCTGGGCCTTTCACAGGGCAGGTGCTCAACAAATGTTGGTCAAATAAGCAGAATGAGAAGCAGGGCCTGGAGAAGAGCTAATGAGATCACCAGCCTGTGGTTAGTACAGTTGAATTGGTCATTGTTTTGAAAAACAGATGAGGTTAAAACCTAAATTAGCTCAACCCATATTTAGTAAATGATTGCATGTAAATCACCAGGCCTGCCTTTGTGGCAAGTAGAAAGATAAATCTTTCCTCATCTGTAAAGCATGGATAATAACTCCCACCCCAAAGGGCTGCTGTAAAGATTCAAACACCTGGCACAGGGCTGGGCCCATAAAAAGTGCTGGATAAATGGTGGCCATTATTATTCTCTCAAAATGTGAAATGAAGAGGCAGATACAAATAGAGCAATTGAAAATATGGCTAAAAACCTGGGATAAAAATGAAGGTAATATGCCTCATTAATAATTTTTATATTGATTTTATATTAAAATATTTTAAACATTAGATTAAATAAAATATATTGCTAAAATTCTAGTTTATTTTCATTTTTTAAATGTAGTTATTAGAAATCTTAAAATTGTATATATGGCTTGTATCACTGGGCAGCAGCACTGATGTAGACTGAGTTTGGTGAGACATTGGAAAGTCTTAGTGGGCCAGGAACCAGTCATCACTCTATGGGACTGCCAGGCTCATGGCACAATATCCCCCATCACTGACCCTCTACCTCACTCCTCATCATAGTGACAACTCCAGACACCCTCACATACCTCCAAAACCACATACTCCAGGGGGCAGAGAGTGCAGCACCACCCATGTTGAGAAACACTGCCCTACAGGGTGACAACCAGCTCCTTTCCCCAGGGCCCACCAGCGTCTGGCCCCATCCAGTTCCCAACCTCTTCTCAGAACTCGAAGCCTCACACTCAGGCTTTAGCAGCCGTGAATTCCTTGGGGACTCTCAGACCCTGAGTTTGCCCCTAGATTACTTTCTTCTTTGACAGTGTTTCAAATTTCCCTACTAGTCACATAGACTCAGGCCCCTGGAAAAACCTCCCAGCCCCTTTCCAAGGATCTTCTGCAATGTGGCAGGTCCCATTGGGGTTTGGGGGTCTAGGTCTTAGCCCACTATGTCCTGTTGAACACACTTCCTCCTCCTGTCTTTTCCCACTGGCCCCTGGAGTAGGTTAAATAATGCCCCCGAAGATACCAGGTCCTAATCCCTGAAACCTATAAATATTACTTTATTTGGGGGAAAAAAAAGTCTTTGCAGATGTGATTTAAGTTCGGGACTTTGAGATCAGACTTTTTATCCTGGATTATCATGGTGGACCCTAAAATATAATCCCATGTATTGATATAGGAGGGAGACAGAGGGAGAAGTAACACACAGGAGAAGACAACATGCAGATGGAGCAGAGAGAAGTGGAAAGGCTGACCTTGAAGACTGGAGTGACAAAGCCACAATACATGTCAAAGGCTGACAGCAGCCACCAGACAATGTAAGACACTGGGAGTGGATGCTCTCCTAAACTTTTCAAGGAAGCCTGGCCCTACTGACATCTTGATTTTAGCCCAGTGATACTGATTTCTGACTTCAGTTCTCAAGAACTGTGAGAAAGTTAATTTCTGCTGTTTTAAGCCACTAAGTGTGGTATTATGTTGTAGCATCCATAGGGAACGAGTACAGGTCCCTGCCTCTCCCCTGTCCTTGAAATCCTGTAGGTTATCCCTGCCCAGGAGCCAGTCCCAAGGCCCATGCTGCAGAGGCCCAGGCCCTCATCTCCCCCTTTTCCCCAGCCAGGGCCCACCTCCTCTGTTAGAACTCAGCTGGGGTGTCTGCACATCCAGGAAATCTCCTTTGTCCTCTGACATCCCCTGTCCTTTCTATAGCTCCCCTGCCTCTCCCTGTGCCTTCCTTCCTTTCTCTGCCCTGGCCCTATGCGACTCTGTCCTCTAGGGTTCTGCCTTGCCCCACCTAGTTGCTATGCTGCTTCTCTTCATGTACCCTGTACTTGGGTTTCTCATCTTGGGGAAATTTACCATTGAGACTGTGTCTCTCTGGGGTCTTCATGTCTTCACAGTTAGAGAGTCTCCATGTGAGCCCCTCAGAAAATTCTGTGGCTTAGACAAGAGAGGACAGGTTTCTGGATTTTGGCACCAAAACTAAACATGCTGTTGTAGGCCCCTTTCCCACACTAGGTTCTGTGGACAGAGCCAGGACTAGTGTAAGTGCAAATGAGATACTCATCACAAATTTGAGGAA